ATAATAGAGCAAACTAGTCGAATACTTAGGTTTTCTTTGCCAAATTACTTCGTACTTTCATATAAACAGAAAATAGCATTATCCCTGTAACGCAAATCTCTAGAGTAATACAAGCACTTAACACGGAGCTATACAGCAGTGCAAAAGCAACTGCACAAAAATTACACGTGAAAACACGTGAGAAACACATAAAGTCACGTACATTACATATTAGAGATAAATTCTATAATTTACTATTAAACACTGTAAGCAATGTTCTACAGCTCAAATCAAGAATACACAATGAGTACCGAACAGCTAGGGGACTCAGATATAAATTGGGGACAAGTATAGAGACATTTTTAGAAAGTCAGCTGAAGACTTCAACTTGCTTAAAGAGGAGTATAAAGAGGAATGCTTTAGAAAAAATAGTGAAATAGTAACATTTACAGGAGCTGAGCCCCAACTTATATATTTGTTTAGATGCTTAATCGAAATCTATGACTGGTTAGATTATTTGAGAATCAAAAAAGGCGAGAATTCTTATTTGTTAGACCTAATAAATTCCAACAAAGCTGAAAAAAGCAAGGAGGTACTAATCGAACAAGAATACGGCATAGCAGACTATGGTATCGAAGAGAAATTAAAGCTGCATCAGCCTGAACTTGAGACTTCATCAAGAAAGAGAAGCACAAGCCCAGTAGAGAGAAAAAGAGTTGCTAAGAAGACGTGTAAGAAGAAAAAAAAAATAACGACTTAACTAAAAGTACAGATACTACAGCAGTACAAGACACAAAACTTATGCCTAGTAAAGAAATAAACATAAAAGCCCAGAAAGAACACGAGAAAGCAAATACTAAAGAAACCCCAGGAAGTAGACAAAAAGATACAGAAGATTCAAAAATATGGTATACACTATGGAACATACCAATAGAAGTCAAGACAGTAAGAGTATGAAGATGTCTGCATTTTTATGGTCGAGTTTAATTCAGGCACTAGGAATCGCTAGAATCAAAGAAAGCTGTCTCATTCAATATAATCTTTTGAAATGAGAGGAAAAAAGCTCTATTTACTAAAGCTTGGGCTGTACACTTCGAAGAGAAGAAAATGCTAAGACTCTCTGAAGGGGCATTTGACAGAAGCATTTTAGACGAAAGAGGAAAATACAAAGCGATACTGAAAAATATCCCCAAGACAGCCCTAGAAACAATGCTGTTAAAACAGCTAAAACCAGTAAAAGCACAAGCAGTATATATCTCACATAACCACAACAAGAACCAAAGAAGCACAGCCTCAGTGTTCTTCAAGTCTAAGAAGGAACTTCTAGTAGCTCTCACAAAAAGAATGTATTACTACAATGCAAAGCTTGATTGGATTTCACCAGATAATATAAAAGAAGATGTTAAAAATCATATGGTAAGCAATAGAGGAGGTGCAACAATTTGTCTAACCAATTAGAAAGAGAGCAATATAGTAAAAAGGAAAGAAAACCCATATATCTTTATCAAGGCCAATGAAAACAAAACAAGCGGCAACTCAGTTCCACCTAGACGTCTAGTAGGCAAGGAAAACAGAAACAAAGAAAGTATAAAATCTGACTTCAGAAATGATAAGAAGGATGCAGACAGGAAGCAACAAACTTATAAAGATTCAGTCCACAGCATGCTGATACAAATCTTGGGCAGACTAAAAAACTAGAAGACCAAAGTAGTCCATCTAAGACAGCACACGCAAGAGTAGCTCTTGCAGATCGCTTCTAAGGGCACCCCAGGCGCAATAATAAACCCCTCTATGGGAAACAGACATCAGCAAAAATAAATAGGCGTAAACCTCCGCAAGTTTTTACGCGAGCGTAAACTTACGAAAATTTACGATTA